CTCTCTCCCTCTCTCTCTCTCTCTCTCTCTCTCTCTCTCTGCCTCTCTCTATCTGTGTCTGGGCTGTGTGTCGCCGCCAGGCTGTCAAATTGTAATTTATATGAGACAGCGGCAACGGCGACTGGAGCTTAACTTTTACAATGCATCAATAAATTACATTATCCTTAATTTCCCGCGTTTTTCCGGTCAACACAGCGACATTTAACCCGCCCGCAGTTCGCTTGTCCTGCTGAGCCAGCAAAATTTCTGAGCTCAGAGTGAGTTGCAGCCGCAGGTTCGGTTGGCCTTAATTGCAGTATCAGAAAAAAAAAATGTACTTTATTTAATACACGCAACACAATTTTACAGTTTTAGTATAATTATTTGTATTTGCTATAGACAATTAAATTTACAAAACATGATTTGATTGGGAAATATTTATTTCTTTTAATTTTTCAATCAAATATCCAGCCTGGAACTTCGTTTTAAGTTCCTTGCAAATAGCTTCGAAGCACGTTCACTTCTTTTACAAGTCGAGCTTCAGATATATAATTTAACTTTTAATTTTCAAGAAAAGATTTTCGTTAGAAAGGGGGACGATATATTTGGACTATATTGTACAAAGTAGATGTCCTAGTGCGTTGACTAACTAATATAGTTGTTAAATATAATATTAGTTTTCAAGTCCATGTTTTGCCCACATTCGAAGAGCTAGTCATTAATTAATTATTTATCTACTAATTCGCTCTGAATTTTATATTTAAGTTATTGTTTTTTTTGTGCGCTTTATGGTATATTTTAATTTGAAAACAACTTTTAAACTGGTTTGAAAATGTGCGAAGCGGTATCCCATGATAATCATATGAGTTTGGCACAAGGTAGCTTAAAAAATTGAATTGCTAAAAAAAAAAAGAAAATACTAATAATTCCCAATTGGCCCAGTTTCAACAGGTGTAAAGAAAATAGAAAACATCGAACCTGATCAAAGATTTTAATGCGGTACAAATGAAGTTAAATTTCATTTCAGTTAGCAAATTGTTCGGTTCAAACATAAACTCATTAGTCGACAATCATTTTCGGGCCGCAGGGTACAAAGAGGATGCCCAAAATATTCAATATGCCAGGCAAACTAAAAGGGGTGGTGGAGTGAGGAGAGAGAGAAAGAGAGAGAGAGAGAGGGGAGGGAGTGAGAGGCACGGGCATTGCATGCATCAGATAAACGTGGCACGGGCCAACATCGCTTAATTAAGGTTTAACATTCGGCAGTTGGTTGGCTGTGTGTGTCACGCCCACGCGAAGTGAAAGGCAACTAAGCTATGCACACACACGCACATAGACGCACACCCACACACCCACACACACACACGCACACAGAACTTAATGTAATTATGTGCTAAGTGCTCCAGGCACGAGCGAAATCCATTCGATATCGCACAATAGCCATAGTCGGATCTGAAAAGCGAAGCCCCAACGACCCAACGTGAAGCAGAATGTGCCCGCTGCATATCAATAAACCCATCATCATTATCGATTCACCCGATTTGCCAGCCATGCCAACTGCCAACTGACAACTGCAACGCAACTCCGCTGACTTTTTGGGTTGAATTCACGCCGAATGTCTGCAATTAACAGCAGCGCGTAATTTATAGATCAATTTTAGCGAGCAACGGGTTAGATATTACTAAAGTCATACATGTGAAGACGGAAAAGTTCATTCAATTTCTAATTTGTAATTAGATAAACTGTGTTTTGTAAACTTTAACTTAAGTTTGGTATACTGTATCAAGGGTCTTGGGCTTTAAATATATCGAATCTATATTTTCTCCAGGGTTGCTTACATAAGTAAATGATTTATTTAAATTGTTTTATTTATTTTATTTTTTGGAACATGGTTTTATCAAAAATTCTTATAGCAAGCTCGCAGATTCGCGAAAATAATTTTATTTAACAGCATCTCAGAGCGTGCTACAGTAAAACTTTGACAGCATTCCTCCCACACAGTTGACATTTCAAAAGTTTTGTTTTATTAAACACTTTGAAAGCTGTGTAATTATTTATACGTGCCACACAAATACTATATGTGTATATTTAGCAGAACTGCGCGCAAGTGTCCTTATTGTGGAAACCCCATCAAAAATGTCAACGAAAGGAACTATTTTTGCCTAGCACTGTTTCAGGCAAATAAGTGGCTTAATTTAGGAGCTCATCAATATTGTGCTTCCTTTTAAAATAGATTTAAATGTGTCCACATTTGAGTTAGGAAATGGTTGTCTTCTCTCCCAGCCTTGCTCGCTGCCCACTCGAAACAACTTTCGCCTCAATGCGTAATGGCGCGGGGTAAATAAACAAAGATAGAAAAGTCGCAAAAAGCTGGGGGCGATCGATGAAATGTTATGAAAATAATAGATGCGATAATGTTTCGTTCTTTTAAACAACAAAAAAAAAGGGCGAACAACAACAAAATGTGAACAACGACAAAAGCGAAGCGAGTCTCGCCTTTTTATTTTGGCCGTTTGTTTGTTACATGCATATTTGGGACTTTTATTTTATTTTTGCTGCTGCTACAGGATATTGCGGGGCATGATTATTATTTACATTATTAATTACTATCAATATACATTAATATGAAGATTAAACAGTATTACAAGAGGCTTAAGTTTTAAATTCAACACAGAAAATACCTTTGTATAAAACTATGTTAAATCGAAATAATAAATATAGGCGGAAGTTGAGCCCAATACACTACGCTTATTATGCTTTTGTTTATGTTGTTCTTTGTTTTATGCTGTTTAAATACTTAATAATTCATTTCAGTTCAATTTTGTCGTATACTCACGTACAGGGTATCTATTATTCAGTCACTTGACATTGGGAGCGTCACCTTTTTGTCTACTTTGTCTGCATGTCAATGTTAAAAATTGTATTTTGTACGTTTCAATGAGCTTTTAGTGCGACATTAACAAAGCGTCGAGTAGCCGAAAAACGAAAACGATGACTTTTCCCCCAATTCTTTTTTGTTTGTGCAACAGAATTGTCGTTATTCTAGCCCCCGCAGCCCGCCTACTCTCAGGTTCCTTGCCATTATTTATGTGACTACAACAAGAACAACTTTGATTGTGGCCTTTCTCCTTGTCAATTTGACTTTTTATTTTAAATGCAACAAACGAAATCAAAAACAACTTGTTATCGATGTTGTCATTGTGCCATATTTTCAGGCTCTGGCAAGATGGAGCTTAAAAAAAAGGAAACCAGTCGATGGCCAAATGGGGTGCGGGGTGCGTGCCAGGGCCATTGTCCTGCTGTTGTCGTTCGTCAACATTTCGCGTGATTGACTTTTCGGGTTAAATTAATTAAGCGTGTGCGTTTTTATTGCTGATTGAATGCTTGTGCAAATGATGGAAAGACCGGCCACACCTACTCACTCGCATTTCCTGGAGGAGGCAATAGACAACCGGGATGAAAAAGTTTAGCAGAATTGAAAGGTATTTATAGGCGACAAAAATGGGCTATAGCACAACGGTATTTTTTTTGGTACTCTGATTTGGGTAAAAAATAATTGTGATTTCACATAATTTTTCCCTATTTCATTTTCTTCTATAATTTTTGTGCAATTTTCTCTGTTCAAAATCTAAGCTAGAATGTAAAACCTAAAGAGCTATTCGGTTTCAATTTGAAAAATGTTTAATATTTAAACTAAAGCACGTAAGGGATATGAACTTATCTTAAAGTGCAAAAAATCAACTCTCATGCCCGATTTTATCAGCCTTATATATGAAACTCCGTCGGAGTTGGTTTTATGTTTGTCTGCATTCAAAAGTTTGGCATGAAATTTATTAATTTTATAATGTGGCCGGCAGACATTTATTTCGATGCTAATTACAAACATTAAAACTTTTAATTAGTTTTCAACAACAAGCAGCAATGACAACAACAACAAAAACTACGCATGCGGTTAAAGAAAATCTGGAGGATAGGAAAAATTAGGAGCTGAACTAAAATTGCTTCTTCTCAATGTTCCGCTTGTTGTTGTTGTGGTTGTTGCATATGCAAATTTGATAATTTGATATATCTAGCTGAAATGAAAACTCACTTTTCATTTATTGCTGCGCACAGCCAAAGTAAACAAATAAAAAACTAAATAAAAATAAGCATGAAAATGCCATAAACAAATCTCAGCACTGATTGCCACTCAACCCAGTAAAAAAGCTAAAGCGCAAAAAATGTAGAATGAAAAAAAATAAACTAAAAATGTAAATTGGCTTAAAGTGAATGGCTATAAGCAGCTAACAAAATGATTTTGGCCAAACAGAATCGTAGCTAATCAAATTTCTCTACATTACACATCAAATGTCGCAAATGTTGCTGTTGTTGACAATTTTCGCTCGGACTGAAGCTAATTGAAGGAATAAATTTTGTTGTTGGCAACTCAGAAAATAGATTTTGGGTATGAGTTATATGGTTGTCAGTTGTTGAAGCAGTAAAACGGATAACTGAAGCCGAAGAAAATGAAATTTAAATAAGCAGTAGTAAATGAAAAATAGGAAGAAAGTTTTTGATCGATAGGGAGATATCCTCGGCTCAGCTCTGAAGTATTCTTTTATGCATTTGGGCTGACATTGTAAACTGCTTTGTGACATTGTGTTATTTAGTTATTTTATTTAACTACTTATTTATTTAATAATGGAAGATAAAACGAGTGTCTATCTAAGTATTTAATACATTTAAGGATAGAAAATTAAAAACTTAAAGCTTAATCTGATAACATAAATAAATTAATCAGAAGCATTGTAATGGAAAACAAATGCGAATTTTTTAGCCTGTCCGGCAAGCTGCGCCCTAACTCATAGCTGGGCGTGGTCACTGAGTAGTATCTAGTATATCTTGCTGAATCACTGAAAATATTAAAAAATATATTCCAATGAAATTCTTTAAAATTCTTAGATTTCACCCTAATTCCAATTTGATTTATCTTGAAGGTTTTATATTTTTCTATTTTCAGGAAAAGAAAGAATGAACATGAAAATAAATTTATGGAAATAAATATGGAAATTGTAATCCCAAAAGCGTGGCTTGTACGATAAAACTGATTGATCGAAAATGTATTTTATTGTCTCTTTTATTCAACGGGTAAGCCTATCAAAACATTTTTAACAACATATTTAGTATTTAGTATCTTAATAGGAGTGTTAGGACTATTTTGACTATTATCTTATTAAGAACATCAATCGCTATTCTTTAATTTTGAAAAATATTTCGAAACTTTGTTTTACCATAGCATAACCATACATACCATGTGTGTAAACATCTCTTTTAATCTTTAGAACCCCGACGCTTGCTTTCACTCTTCTTCGTGTGTATATTTTATATTGCATTTATGGCATGGGTAATCCCGATTTATTTTAGAAACTCCATGTTTAACTTCTTGATTAGCCATAATTCGTTTCAATAAACTTGTAAAACGCAGTTTTGAATTTTCGTTAAAACTCACGCATGGAGATTCAGTCCCTAATATAGTCAGTCGAGCACACAGACAGACACACACGAATTGCCCAGCCCAGACACATTATTTGCATTCACTTAACCAGCCGCGGGTCCTTGCATAGACCCAGCCAGGACCTTGCAGACTAGACTAATGTGCCGCCATTAAATCGGCTTGCCCAAAACATTAGCAAAAATGGCGAAAAAAGGATACAAACAAAAAAAGGCAACAACAAACTAAATTCAAATTAATGCACAAGCGATCAGGCTGCAGCAGGCGGGTAGATTGTAGGCAAAGGGGAAAGATGAGGGGTGTGTGAGGGGATTGCGACGTAGACAATGCCAAGCGAAGCGTTAAAAGCCAACGCAGAGCTCGACCTCGTTGCACAGCTCAACCAACCCCTGCACCCACTTTAAATCCCCACTGAATGCTGCGGCTGCTGTAGCTGCAGACAAGTGTGCACTTGTACTTGTAGTTTAGCCAGCGTAAAACATATAAATAAATATGAAAATGAAAATCACACACAAACAACAACAACAACAACAGCAACAAACACCAAATATTGTTGTCGCATGTGTGTGTGTGTGAGAGAGATGCCGCTTCCCCTGCAGTAAAGTGCCATGCATTTGAAATTTTAAGCACAACGCTGCGTATGATCAACGTTCTGCTAGTGGCAAGTTGCAAGTAGGCAAGTGGGTGGTCGGGTCGAAGGGAGAGGGGCGGGGGCGTAGCAAGGTAGGAAGCGGATTCGCTTGTATGGGCTGCAGTAGATGGTTGAGTTGTGGGCGTTGCGCTGCACATGAAATAATGACAAGGGCTATAAAATTTAGTTGGCTTTTTGCGACAAACACAGAAACAGACCCCTCACCAGGCAGGCGTTCCAGAAAATGTCGCCAACGTCATTTCGAGTAATATTAAAATAGTAAATACATTTCGTAGATATTAAATATTTTATTAGCTGGCTTTGGATCCATTTCAAAAAATATTTAAAAATGAAAAAGTCGCCAAAATCAGCATTAAATTTTAGATATTAATATATAATAATAATAATGTAATATACATGTTTTTGTTTTGATAGGCTACTATATAAATAATTAGTGAAAATAATATTTTTTAGGGATTTACTGCAGAATATATGTTTTCACTCAACTTTTCTTATTTCGAGTTTTGAACCAAGTATAATACACTCAGCTAAAAACATTGTTCTAAATTTTAAATAATGGAATGCTCTTCAATTTCGTAGATTTAAAACTAGTTTGTAATGTTAAAAAAAAATTATAATAATTTTAATTTAGTACAACTAGAATTTGCGTTCTGAATAAGGGCTTAAAACTTATTTTTGATAACTACAAAGTATTCTATAAAGGGTACTCTATGAATCTCCTTTTCATAGATGCCGAGCATAAGACTATGATTATTAAAAGAGTTTAACTCTTTTACTTTACTTAAACATATTGTCGCATATCTTCCTAACATACCGTCTCTCATACTTGTATTAATATTTCTTTCTTTACCCTAAACATTTCGTTTGACCAGATTTATAAGATTTCTAACTCTTGACATATGCATTCCCTCTTCTCTATCATACGCCGACACATATACTTTGATTAGTAAAAATATATATTATATTAAGTTAATATTTTCAGAATTAAAGGTGAAATTTATTCCCAGAACATTCGCTAATGTAATCGCATTTACTCAAGTGGCTTTTGACGCAGCATTTCCTGTGGCTGTTCCCGTTCTTGTTGTAGTTGTTGTATTTGTTGTTGATGTTGTATTTGTGGCGCTGCCAAGCTGGTTGACTGTCTTAAATTATTATTCATGAGCGCTTTAATTTATGCTGCAGTTAGAATTAGTGCGCTTTGCATTTTTCGCCGTTGTCTCATATGTATGTGAGTGTCAGGCGCTCTCTTTCACACTTGTGTGCGTGTGCCTGTGTGTGTGTTGGTCTATCATGCATATGTATGGGCTTTTTTGGCATCTGTATGTGTTTAGTTTTCGTTACGGAAGTACTTAAAATGGCATTAATACTTTTATGACTTGTGGCCAAGGCAATCTGCGGTCAGGTGGCACCCACCAACATGCCCATCAAATATTCATAAGTATGTGTGTGTGTGCGTGTGTGTATGTATGTGTGTATGTGTGTATGTGTGGGTCATTGAATATATTCATTGTATGCATTTGTTATGAAGAGCTAGGGAATTAAATTAGACAATTTATGTGATAGCATATGCTTTAGTACTTATTATGTTTAGATTATTGCTTGCCAAATAAGTTTTTAGTAACTGAATTTTACTTCAAATTATGTCGCTTGAACTTTGGCTAATTTCACTAAAAGTGGGCTAACTTAATCTCGAATCAAGTGTTTGCATATGCCGATTATATATAAGCCTAATGTATAATCAACAGTAAGTACATAATAATAAGACAAAACAAGTGGCAGTAAATGTTGTTACTTGCTTAGATAAGACTGTTGCTTGTTTCTGTATTTTACCAGTAAAATGGCATTGATTTAATTATTTTTGATGATTGATCATTTTTGTGGCTGCTTTTAGAGTCTCATTGATTTTGTTTTATCGTGCTTCTCGTTACTCTAGTTTATATATTTTATTAATCGTATGCCTGGATTTTTGATAAGCCCTTGTTGCTTTTTTTTCTTTTTTTTTTTTTTGTTTGTTTATTGTATTGAATCAAAAATAGCATACATTTTTATTACAACACAGTTGGCTTAGGTGATATTACGCCAAGCCTGTTTGGGTCCTCAGGCTTTATCGTGCCTTGTTGCTTTGATTTACTCACTACGTGAAATTTCTCGTTGCTTTTTCTGATTCTTGGCGGCTCTCGCTTATCTTGCTCATACTTTTCTTTACTCTCTTTAAATTGGGGTTTAGCTCAGCACTCGTTACTCTCGTTTTCTCGCTATATTCAACTGTTCGTTGCATTTGCTTGTAACTTTCGTTATTCGTTCTATTTAGTTTTTGCTCAGCATTCGTTAATTTCTATTACTCGCTTCTTATTCTTTTTGTTTGATTCTTTGTGCTCCTCTTCTCTCTTGCTCATAAATTCGATTCTTGTTTGATTTAGTTATGCTCAGCACCCGTTACCTTCATTTACTCGCAACTTTAAGCTGCTCGTTGCTTGTGATTATTTCTTGTTAATTCTTATTACTCTTGCTCGTACATTTCTTTATTCGTTGGACTAAGCTTGTACTCAGTATTCGTTACTTACTTTTACACGCTACTTGTCTCGTTGCATTTGTTCTCGCTACTTTTAGTTTACTTTAGTTATGCTCAGCACTCGTTACTTTAAACTACTTGCTGCTGTTGCGTTCTTTTGGCATATTTGGATTTAAGTAATATTTAACCATGTGACTCGTTTTGTACCATCAAATTACGCTCGTTATTTTTAAACCTTATTTGATTTAGAATTAAACTTTGCTTCAAAGCATACAATAATTAGTTATTAATTTATCGAACCATGGGATTCAAGCGTAATTCCTATGTCACTCTAATAGAAAAATAATAAGCTCTACCAATAAAGTAAATAGTAAATTATAGCACACATATAGGCGAAACGAATGGAGTACTAATTGCCAGTCCGCAATGAAAACAAAAGACAAATACAGTGAGCCCTGTACGCACCCACGCACCCGGCCAGCCCGGCGTGGTCATTAAGTAATATAATAATAGGTAAGCGCATTAGGAAACGCCAACTTGTCGGTGCGACTGTCAAGGACACGCCGCAATCATTACTCAGGACTCACACACACACAAACACACTCACACACGGAGATGTACGCACAACTGCGTTTTACTTTTCAGCTGTGCGGTGCGCAGTTGTGAGTTTCTCGCGCAAAAGTTAATCATACGCTGCTTAAAATTACAAATCACCGCAATCAGCAGGACATCAGCGCAAAAAGGACGTGGCCCAAAACGCAGCCAAGCCAAGAACAGCACAGGAGGACAACACGTGATGACGACGATGATGATGATGATGCTGCTGCTCCTCCATGTCCAGCTCCAGCTCCGACTCATGCTGCAAGGATAATAACAGACGGCCTGCTGTGGCAGATTGAACCTTTTTGGCGAGCGCCGCCTTTTGCGGCACAGCTCTTAAGTGTTTTAAACAGCGACCATTTAACGGTAATTATTGCAACACTGTGGCACATTTTAAGTGCTGCAAAGCGTGAGAGCAGCGCCAGACAGAGCTAGCAGTGGAGCTGCGGCACCTGCTGGCCAACGTCCACCTGGCTACAGTTGGCTGCATAAATTTCCAACGCAGCCTTTTACTTAATCCCGTCTATTTTGCAAAAGGATTATCAAGGCAACTTTTTAATTCGCGCCGCCGCCACCAGCCGCCAGTCGTGATGTCAGCACTTTTCTGTGGTGGCCTTTTAATGGGCCCCATTTTCCAACCTGCCCCTACATCCCTCGTGCACCTCCACTCCACACCACCTTTTCGTTTACCCAACTCGTCCACAGTTAATGCCCATTGAAGGCCATTTGATGCGTGGCCAAGTGAGCGTCGGACTTGGAGAGTTTGTAGCACCAAGTGATAATAATTTGAAATGATGGATTTAAGTAGCCATTAAATTGAAGTGAAGCAACATTGAAAGCATTTCACGCCAAGCCATACCATAAACTGGAAA